GTATACAGAAGTAAGGCTACAAGAGACTCAATTATTTGCCCAAGTTGTTGCAACTTGGTCCAACCTCTGCAATACCAACTCTGAGTACTATGTTTTTGATCACCCTACTTCCGGAAGTTGTCCTTTCTGTCACAATTGACAGTGAGCAAGGTTCACCTATCAAGAAGTTAAGAGAAGACTTTCTTTGTTGTTTTTGCCAACACAAGCATAACTTAGCAATGTATTTGCTTATTTTTAATTTTTAAAACATTTATGTATGTTCAGTTCAATTCCATGAATCAACATGACTGTTTTTATGTCAATACCCTGTAGTTTTTATTATTATAGCTCTGTAGTACAGCTTGAAATCAGGGATGGTGATACTCTGTTCAGGATTGTTTTAGCTATCCTGGGTTTTTTGTTTTTCCATATGAATCTGAGAATTGTCCTTTCAAGGTCTGTAAAGAATATTGGAATTATGATGGGGATTGCATTGAATATGTTGATTGCTTTTGGTAGGATGGCCATTTTTACTATGTTAATCCTACCTACCCAATAGCATGGAAGACCTTTCCATTTTCTGATACCTTCTTCAGTTTTTTTCTTTGAAATTTACTTGCTTGGTTAGGGTTACCCCGCCCCCCAAGATATTTTATATTGTTAGTAGCTATTGTGAAGGGTGTTGTTTTCCTGATTTCTTTCTCAGCCCATTTGTCATTTGTGTATAGGAGGGCAACTGGTGTTTTTGAGTTAATCTTGTATCCAGCCATTTCACTGAAAATGTTTGTCAACTGTAGGAGTTTCCTGGTAGAATTTTTGGGGTCGCTTATATATACTATCATATCATCTGCAAATAATGATACTTTGACTTTTCCTTTCCAAATTGTGTCCCTTTGATCTTCAGTTGTCTTATTTCTCTATCTAGAACTTCAAGTACTATATTGAGTAGATACATAGATAGTGGACAGCCTTGTCTTGTTCTGATTTTAGTGGAATTGCTTTACATAGGTCTGCACTAGGTCCTCTTCACATATGCTATGGTTGTTTAGCTTGAGATTTTTGGGGAACTCCTAACAGTGGGAGTGGGGGTGTTTCTGACTCTTTTGGCTGATTTTGGGGTCCCTTACCTCCTGTTTTGCCATATTTGGTTAATATCCCAGGGAGGCCTGCTCTTTTTTGAAAGGAAATGGAGAAGCAGTGAATTGAGGGGTGGGGGCAACTGGAAGGAGTGGAGGGAAGGGAGGCTGCAGTTGGGATGTATTGAATGAGAGAAGAATAAATAAAAAGAAAAAAACAAGAAGAAATTCATGTATGTTAAGGCATATAACATGACATAGAATGGCTAACCCAACAAAACATGTATGATTACCATTCATATTTGCTATATTTTGTGGTAAAATTACTTAAATCTATCTTGTGTGCTTTCCACGTATAACATTCGTTAACTGAAGTCTCTACCTTGTACAATCTGAGTTGATTTCTCATGGCTAGCTGAACTTGATATCCTTTGATGAACACATCCCCACCACCATCTCCCACCCTGGTAACTACCATTCTTCCCATTTTCTGACTAAAAAGGGGTCTGGAAACATCCTTAATTTTTCTTTCATTCTCCCATGTTTCACGATTTCTGCTGAGATCCCTCACAGCTCTGAAAGCAGATTTGGAAACATGTTGAATGGATCCCCTCAAGTTAAAAATGACAACATCAACCTGGATGTGTCATTGGAGATGGATGTTGTGTGCTCTAGGGAATGAATAGTTTGTATTCAAGAGAGATGGCTCACTGAAAGTGATGGGGGACCCTCTGCCAGTGCTGCTTGAAGCCATCTCATGTTTTAGGGATACTTGACTAGAGAAGGAAAATGTGGATAATTTAAGGTTTCTGTCACTTTGAGAACAGGCTGGCTAGTAAAAAGTTTGTTCAGATTATAAAGATTTTGAAAAGAAAATGTAAGTACTTTTGCTTAGAAAATCATGGTCCCTCTTAAGAAAACAAATGGGATTCTGGTGAAAGGAGGTTTTCTCATCTGCTCCTTGGAAGGTAAATAACAAGTTTTCCTTTGGAGGCAGACCAAAGGGACCAGAGTGCTCCTGGGTAGGGGTTCCTCTGCAAAGTACAGGAATCAGAAGGGTCAGAGGGCAGGATATGGATTGCAAGATCTTAAAATTATGGCTGTGGCTAACTATTTTGTCTCTCATTTTCCCTGCCTTCTTCTACTCACCATCTCCTTAAAGATTTATGAGGTTTACTTTGACTTCCTTTTCTTTGTTGAAATCAGGTAAGAAGTCTTGTGTTTGTTTCAGTTTCTCATTTTGCCCGAATTCCCTGGGTCACACTATTTTCATTGTAATAACCACTTCTTTACTTCCTAGCATTGCACACACACACACACACACACACACACACACACACACACACACACACACACACACAAAGGCAAGTGGAAAGAGGGAGAAAGAACACAATCAATGGAGTAACATAATACTATTTAAGATTATCTGGAGTATGTTCATTTATTGAGTAAGGTATAGGTTAAGCAAAAATTAAAGAATTAAACTTGAAATATAGTCTAACTAGAAAACTTATGTAGGCAATTTTTAAATTTTATAATTTAATTTTAATCTAGTCACTAACCCTTCAGATTATAATCATTTTAAACATTAAAAAAAATCATTGAAAATTCTCATTCCTACTCCCCAACTTCAGCTCCATCCCATCTCTTTCAGGTACCTGTTGGGTTTTTATGAGACTGCAAGCTAAAGTATACAATGAGATTATACAGTTCTTATATAGAGGCTAATGTGGTAAACACCACTAACTACACATTGATCTTCACTCCCTTTTTCTACTTAACCTTGTGAGCTGTGATCTTTTCATACCCGTGTAGCTAAAGCTTTCCCATTTGGAGGGCAGGGAGGGGTCCACAACATTCCAGTATGTTGCACCACAGTTCTTTGCTTGTCACCTAACTGATCAACATTAAGGTTATTTTCTGCCTTTAGCTTTGGGGAGAATTTCCCACAAGTGGTGTTTCTGGGGGAAAAGGAAATCCATACATAGTTCTGAATAATATTGCAACATCCCCTTCATATATGCTGTACCACTTGTCCTTGCATCGGTGCTGTGTGAAGAAGCCTCCTTCCCCACACTCACACTAACAGTGTGTTTTCTTTCACACCTTTGGATTTTGGCCTAGCACATAGGTTCAAAAATCAGAATACTTTACTTTGCATTTGTCTTATGAAATTGAGATTTTATTTTTTATGTTTGATGAACGTTGCATTTCTCTTTTCTAGATGCTCTTTTCCTGGCTTTGACCACTTTTCTATTAAGATCTGTGGGTTTTTAATCTTATGTCTAGACAACATTTGTGATACACGTTAAAAATATTTTTACATTTATTTGTTTATCTTTTGTCTTGATTTTTCTTTTTCTCTTCTGGGAAAACATTATAAGCAGCCCCTGCTTTGCATGCCATTGTGGAACTATAAAAATGACCATGTAAGAAAACACTACAAGCTATTCTTAATTAGTTTGTGTCTTCTCGAAAGTTCTGTCAAAACATGTAAATATATGTAGAAATGGAAAGCAAGGAAACTAAGGTCGAAAATGTATTCAGTAGCTGGGACCTTGGAAACACAGTTAAAGTGCTTTGTTTCCTTTGAAAATATCAAAACATGCTTGAATGGTGCTTGCTGGCTTCATGTTGTGTACTTTGTGGCTCCACATGTGTGTCTTGTCTTTATTTGGCAAGCTTGTGCTTCTACACTTTAGCCATTGTGAGCATTTTAGACTTCTTGTCCCATTGCTATAGAATACCTCCAGGAGTTCCCAGCAAGTTCCCAACTTGCTCTGGTGGCCCATCCCTCTTCATCCTTGCCCTCTCTCCTATCATGGCCAATTTCTGGGTTTATGTTAAGAAGTTTTATTTTGGTTACATATGATTTTGAAATGGCAGTGTCAAAATTGTCATGGTCGTGTATTTCTTCTATAAAATGATTTGCATTCAGTTCAGATTTCACTGCTGGTGTCATCTCATTTAGTTTTGTTCCTGTATTTTATCTGTATTGGCCAATTATTTTGCTTTTTATAAAATGCCACGTGGCCTTTTCACTTGGTGACAAGGAGACAACATAACCACATACTTGGTTGTCTGTACATGAACTGAATAGACAGAGCACAATGACCATTTGCAATAGACTGGAAAGAAATGATTGGTCTCTGACCACAATGCCCTGCAGTTTTTTATACATAGGATTCTGAAGGGATAATATCATAGTTTGACTTTGTGTAATTACACTGAATGGATGGTGCTAACTATACTGTGATTCTATAAGTTTTAAACTATGTTGTTGGGGGCTGGTGTCATTTAACTAAACTATAGTAAGTTAAATTTGTGTGTATTAAACCACTGAAAGCAAGGCTACCTCTACAGAAAAGTGCAAATGATAATATGTATTCATCTCTGAGTTAGGACAGCTGTTAATATTCTGGTATATACACCTTAGCTATTTTTATAAAAAAAAACATAAAATTAAACATAAAACATATAGTTGAAATTCTCCTTTGTCTTCCAACTCCTGTTCTTTCCCTTTTTTAGCCTGCTGCAAACTCAATATCATTGTAAATAAAGGAATACTTTTATGCCCCACACACTATATATAAGCAATTTCAATAAGAAATAAGCGCTGTTTGTGGATATGCTCTTTAGTTTGCCCTATAATTTTGTTTTCTGTTTATTATACTTTTCCTTTGACTCTTACAGTCTTATTTCTTTTGAGAATTAACCAGAGTATTATGCTCTACCATACATAGAAGAAGTCATGCTTTTCTGTTCCATCCTATTTCATTTAATTAGTGAAATAACTTATTTATTTTAAAAAACTGAAACTTGTATTGAGATGGAATGATGACCTTGCTGTATCCATGGAAACAGCCTGAGCCCACAGATACTGATGTGTGGTATCATATTTATGTCTTTCTGATTTATTTAACCACCTTCTTGTTTGTCTTCCAGATTTATTCAGGAGATTGAACACGCCTTGGGACTTGGCCCTGCCAAACAGTGTCCCCTTCGAGAGTTCCTCACCATGTATATCAAAAGCATCTTCCTTAATCAAGTCTTGGCTGAGATCAACAAGGAGATTGAAGGAGTCACCAAAACAACAGACCCCTTGAAGGTCCTAGCTAATGCAGACACCATGAAGGTTCTGGGGGTGCAGAGGCCTCTTCTACAGGTAATAAGAGGAAAAGAACTTACTCTTTTCCTAATTTTATAAAATGTGGTTTTTATGTGTGTATGTCTGTGTACCAGTTGTGTGCCTGCCGCCTGCAGAGACCAGAAGAGGGTGTTGGATCTGCTGAAACAAGTGGTTGTAACTCACATGATGTGGGTGCTAGGAATTCAACCCAGGTCCGCTAGAAGGCCAGCCAGTGTTCTTAATCACTGAACTATCTCTCCAGCCCCAAAATTACTGTTTTTAATCACCATTTTTTTTTTTTTGTGACTTGGCAAGAATCATAACTTTAGAAAAGAAGAAGAATTACCATCTGGTTCTATATTCAACAGGGACAAAACAAAAGGAAATAAATTAAATAGACACTAGGGAAATTTAGGTCTGATATAGTTTGGATAATGGAAATTCCCAAGATAATGAAAGGAGTAAAAAAAGTTTAACTTTGACTATGGGAGATGGTGAGTCTCACTGACATTCAGACAATTCTTCACTGTTTGTTTAGAATTGTCCTTGAAAGAATTGTTTTTCCACTGGTGAATGCATTGTAGAGTAGGAAGGATTAGCAGGAAGGAAATTAGTTACCCTATGTAACCTCATTTACCAGCAGGAAGGCAGTTCTCCGAACCACTTTTAGGTAGATAGTGTAAATAACTTGACTAGCTCAGGGAGTCTGAACCAGTAAACTGCCTGTTAAAAGTCAGATCATTTAGTTCAAGTAATGATCTTGTTAATATTGAACATTTTTCCTTGAAGATACAATTTCTGGGCAATATATATTATCTGACAGTAGATATTTTTGTTTCATAGGCCTGTGGTAGATATTTTATATGCATTTTAGCTTATAACATGCTCATAAATAGAAAATGAGAAAAATCATGAATTGGAATTGTGGGTATATGTTGACAATTGCATTAATCTTGCTTTAAGAAGAACAATAAGCAGACATGGTGGCTCACACCATTGACTCCAAAAGAGGCAGGTGGATCTCTGGGATTTTGAGGCCAGTCTGGTCCACATGGTCAGTTTTAGACCATTCAGGAGCTACATAGTGAGACTCTATCTCAAGAAAAGAACAGAGAACACAACACAATGTTCCATAGATTACACAGTGTGAGGGGTGCCAGGTGTAGAAGATTTGAGCTCTTCAACAGAGCAGTGCACATGGAAGGGTGGGATATGCTTGCTTCACTCAGCTCTCCGGCTGTGCTGCCTACCTAAGTCTGTGTTCATTGGAATATAGAGACATGCTAGAACTTCCTCAGCACGGTATCTAGTTTTACACAAACTCTCTGTGATAAAGAAGAAATGAACTAGAAGCATCGTAAGGGAAGTTGCTCTTTTGCACTATCTGGTCCTGCCAGGTCTGCTCTTAGAGAAGGGGGTACCAAAACTCTGTTCACTGTTCACTGTCCCTGCTGGATTGCTGTTCCACTGATGAGACCTTCCTGAATCTTACTGAGTATCTCACATCAACTAGAAGGTTTTTCAGGCTACTTACTACCTAACCAGGTCTCTTTTCTGATTTTCCTCATTCTTCCTTTTCTCTTCTTCATGTATTTTCAAGGCTGAGATCAGTCCCTATGTACTGTCTCACTGAGGTCGTCTTGCCAAGATGACCTTCTGACTGGGTTCTTCTGGGAGGGATCACTAGCAGGAACCCGAAGGTCAGAGAAGAAAGAGGCTGAACTGTTTCTTCCTCGCTACTTGTGATGCTGCAGCCTCCTCACTAGCTGTAGCTCCTGCTCTCTCTGGGCTCTGACAGCAGTTTCTACTCCTCACTCCTTGATTTCCTTTTTCTGCTATTAGTCTCTGAATTCTCAACATCCCTAGTTCCTTTTCTCAACTCTGGGCGTACTTCTGTAAGTTATCTCTTCATTAATAGTTCTTCATTTGAGTTACCTGAATGGAGCACTTTGTATCAGGATCCATTGACCATTTCTTTAGTATCTGCTGCTTGCTTGCTTGCTTGCTTGCTTTAACTTCAAATTGAACTCAGGACCTTGCACATGCAAGGCCAGCATTCTGCAATTGAGCTACACCCCAAGCCAACACTGGGTTTTTCCTTCTTAACATTCATCACAGATATAGTTACCACTTTTGCTAACTTCTCTTCTATCATTTCCCACTAGGAGGTAAGTTCTAAATCCTAGCTCTCTCTTGGCAACAGGAAGTACTCATGCATGTTACCAGATGCACACATGCATAGATGGGTCAAAAGATGAATAAACTCAATGAAAAAATTCAAAATGGGAAAAAATGAGAAACATTTTTTTGTGTGTTTTGTCTGACCATGATTTTTTTTTCCATTAGGAACCCACCCAGTATCTATTATCCTGAAATGCCATGCTATATGATGACAGCTTTATCGTATATCATGTACTATGTTTAAGGGGCGGATGGGGAAAGCACACTACACTATCTAGTAAATCTGTGAACTAAAGATTCACCTTAATAAACATGATCATTTTGGGCTTATGTAGCAAATACACATTGAGATTCATCGTCTGACCCATATTAGACCATACACTGCCAGCTAAATGTCACCCCTGGGCAGTCCATAGTCTACCTGTCAGATCACTCTCAAACTTGTCACCCATCATTTAGTATTAGTATCTCTCTTTTGTCCTTTAAATCAATTACTCCAGTCTAAACTAGGTAAGGACTCTACCTGTTCTATTTTTTACTTTATCAAGGCATAATTACACATAAATAAGTAAAACTTAAGACCAAAGCCATTCCAGTTAATAACTTCCAAGTTTATGCTTAGAACTAAAATACTTGCTTTGTTATATGGTCATAGTCTCGCCTTCTTTTGTACATTAAAATTATATTTTTGAAGATGCAAAGTTCTGAGGGTATAGTCATTAAATCTACCTACCTTTCTCCAAGATAATGAGGTTTCCATCCTGAAAAATTCCCTTTCTTTATAACAATTATAGATGGCCTTCTAACATGATTTCTTATGCTAAAATTTCAGTGTTTCTTAAAGGTATCTCCATGTCTACTTTACATTTTTATTTCTAGCTAATTGTAGGTGGCTAATCTAAAAAAACGTGGTGAGTAGGTCTTAAAATATTAACTGAGAATGTAAGACACACTAAGAAGGGAGCTGGGGGCAATATGTGTGAGAGTCGCAGGTGGGAAAAGTGCTCAGTTCCATGAAGCATAAAGAGACCCCTCGGCTAGACTGCTGTCAGGTCACAGAGCAGAGCGAGCGTGTGCTCTTCCCCCGAGGCAGCAGCTCTGTCGTTTGTCATCAGCCTCGTTGGTTTTTCCAGGGAGAAGGAAGGACAGTTGTCTACTTGTTGCTTTCATTCGTTGGCTGATGGGCAGGTGAAATGCATGGTGTCCTGTGAGGAGAACTCCGGGTCTGTCTTTGCTCCCCACCCCCAACATGGCATCTAAGCAGCCCAGGCATCATGTCATGAGGAGACATATCTGGGAGTGCTAACATGCACTTGCACTGATGATTTTAAATTCTGTGGAGGGAAGAAAGGGAATTGATAGGAAGAAAAAGAGCAAGTCCCACTTTATGGGTGAAATGCTGTGAGAGAGGTGGTCCTCAAATGATGCAGCCCAGCAGAACAAGAAGTAATATTAGTAATGATAGTAGTCAGCACATTAGCACTGTTGACTAGGAGCCAGACATTCTTCTGAGTGCTTTACATGAACCAGCTTATATATGCTTTGATTGTATGACAAGTTCTTTGATGGTCTTAAATTAAATTGCCTGCCCAGAGTCTTCTGGCTAGCAAAGGGAAGGTTAGTTCACACCCAGGAAGTCTTGTCCTGAGCCCTGTGTTCAACAGTTTGCACATCATAGTCTGAGGATTATGGTTGTCTGCAAGCTACCTACTACCTTTGTGCCACAGACACAGAGGTGAGAGTGACCCTTTAGACACGTTTATTTCTTCTTAGTGCTTGGATATTGTCTGTGAATCTAAGAAATTGGAACTTATATCTTATGTATTTCTAGGTTTTGAATTTCTTTCTCTGGTAACTCATTTTTATCGTATCTCATAAAAGCGTATATTCACAACAGATTGTGGGGATACTGGGCTGTTACCATAGTTAGAGGAGCATTGCTCCAGATCCTTTACTGTCCCATACTGCCTCCCAGAGAGTGAAGGAAAGGACCATCTGCTTCAGCCCTAACACATTTACAATAGAGAGCGTGAGTATTGGTCCCCATTGGTTCTCTCCAAAATCTCTAGTTCCAGACTAGAATATCTAATAATAGTAATATGAATATTCTTATATTTTTATTTATTTGTGTGAACGTGTCTGTGTGTTTGTGTATGCGCATGCATGTACACACACCATGGTGCATGTGTGGAGATAAGAGGACAACGTGCCAAAGCTGGTTCTCTCCTTCTACCCTGTGGGTCCTAAAGATCAAATCCAGGTCATCAGACTTAGCAGCAAGTGCCTTTTCCCTCTGACCCACCTTATTAGTCCCAATATTCAATATTTAATAAATGGATAAGTGAATGAATGATCTTTCCTTACTGCATGGACACATGTGACTGTGTTTTCCCCTCATGACACAAAATTTCTCATCTTCAGTTTCAAAACCTACCCATTGCTAAATCAGAATGTCATGGTTCCTTTACCTCTTGTGTTCTAACATAAGGGCAAAACTGGGTATGACTCATCTAGCCTTCTGAGGTGTCCTTTGCACTGCTTTTTCTGCAAAATGGCCTCGACTCCTGCTATGTTAAGCTTGTTGATTCAAGCTAAACTAAGGAAGTCTCTTAGGAAAAGAAATCTTCCTTTTTCCTAAGCCATCTTTTGGATGTGGAACTTTGAAGCTCTGTGCTCAGCACTCTGACTTGGAATTAGGGGCACTTTGGTTTGAGATGGACATTGAGGTGGTCCAGAGATTTTCATTCCATAGTGTGGTAGTTTGAATGTAATTGTCTCCCATAAGCTCATAGGGAGTTGCATTATTAGGAGATGTGGCCTTGTTGAATTAAGTGTGGTCTTTTTGGAGAAAGTGC